CAGAGAGAGCAGAACGTTAGAGATTGAACTAACAGATTCTGCAGAGTGGGAGAATAGAGATAGAATGAAACAGAATGGTCCCTATGTCCTCCAGCAGTCTAAGGCTATAGCAGCAGAACTATAGAGATAACCTGAGCCACTCTCACTATAAGCTTTATGCAACACTGGTGGGTAACATCCGTCGAGTTTGACTTATCAGACCAGAACCAATATGCTTAATAATTACCAATATTGGCGTAATATTAATGCCGATATATCGTGCATCCCTAATAAAAATTCTTATTTACAGCGTAACAGCCTAAATCAAGCGTAGTGGACCGCTATGCTAAAATACGCTGTCGTTAAACCTGCTTTGCATGCCTGATTTATGACTTTGAAGTGAAATCATGCATTTAACCCCTTCATGTCAGCACTGAATAAATCAACCATTTTTAATCATTTTTTATATTTTAAAATCATGCATTTTTACAAATGTGAGTACATGTTTTAAATGTCCCTCCTGACTCTGTCATCCTCAGGACCTACTGAACCGACTCCGAATGAACGTAAGCAGTAGGAAACTACATCTTTTGTCTTTCTAACGTTTCCTCCCGTCTTCGGGTCGGCATTGAATCCTTAATCTGTTGCTTCGTCTTTCAGCTGTGCTGCTCCTCCTGGACACCACCACTGTGGTGGGGATCGCCTTTGCAGCCTTTCTTATTGGGGCCCTGCTGACCGGGGCCCTGTGGTTTATCTACACACATACAGGTAGGTCCCTCACCTTCCCCCCCCTCCCCCACCTCTGCGCTTTAATAAAAAGATAAGATGCAGAGGAATGTCCCAGCAGTGCCAGCGGCGTGCCGCTGTGATTACCAAACATCCTGTGGCTGATAGAAGCCGCTTCACAATAACATATTGACTCCTTTACTGTAAATATATCCTGTTGGTCGACGCAGAGAGCTCTCCTCTTTCCTGCCTTTCAATGTTTCTTTGGGGTGGTCAGCAGATAATCGCAGCACAATGGCTGGAGACGAGTTGGAAATCCCCCCTCTCTGGGTTTAGTGGGTGCTCACAGGAAAAGACACACAATCTGTCTATTAGATGCCAAGACCGCCCCCCCCCCTCCGTCGTCCCCAGCCCGCTGACCCCAGGCGACCCAAGAGAGGAAATATGCTCCCGGCAGCCCCACAGAGTTCACCGAGGCATAGAGCTCTCCTGTTCTCCCAGCGTTTGACCGGCGATGCTCTGTGCTGTTGACCTGCAGGAATGTGGTTCTGAAAAAGTCAGAGTCTGGAACAAAGCAGGTTTCAATCAGAACCAACTATCAGGATCATAGTTGAAGAAGTTTCCCTCTGTCACGTTTCTGAGGGTTTACCAAGCAGGAACTGTTGCTGCACTTAACGTCCTCTGCAACATGTTGGGGTCCTTATCGCTCTCCAAATATTTTCCTTGGCTTTTCTGTAGAAAAAAATGCTTTATGGATTTCCAAATGAGTGACCAACAAAGGAACACATCAGATTGCACCGACTGCTTTTCCAGAGATAGCAGATGCAGGATAAAGACACAGAGAAAGAACGGCTTTTAAGACAGACTTTAGGAGAAGAATATGCAGGGCCAAGGTTGTTGATGTTATGAAAATAGGCTCTATGTTAACTGCGCTGGATGAAAATGACCTTATATGGCAGCATTTGCAGTTAACCCCCGAGAACGTGGATCCCCCTTAAACAGCAACCAAAAATATCACATTCTGAGTGTATTTAAAAAGTGCCGCTCAGAGTGGTGAGGCATGAAAAACACTTAGGGTTCTTTCCAGCAGCATTTAAAGACCTCTTTAAAAGTCTATTTTCTCCCCGTTTTTATTTACAGAAAGTCGTGATTGTCAAAGCAAATATGAAGAAGAGGGTTTATGTTTGTGCTCCGTTCCTGTCTCTGTGCAGCGGATAAAGGGGCGTACCATTAAAACATGAGGAGCCTCGCCCAGATGGTTTTCTTGAGAGGGGAAATGCGCTCCTCCTCTGCTCAGTTGGTTTAATAAACCAGAAAAAAATATATTAAACTCCCACAAATTTCACATGCGAAAATCACATGTGCCAAATGTGAATATATGATGCCACATGAGATTCACATGCTAATGATTATGCATACATTTGGGAAAAGCACATCTAATTAACATGTTTTCAATTGTGATTTACACATAAAAACAGGTGATTCACATGTGCATCACTGGTGAAACATGTGATTCCCATACAGTATATCTTCCAAAAAGTTTAAAAAGTTAAAACAAAAACAATTTACTGGACTTAGTTTCCCAAGTTTGAAGATGTTTCGCTTCCCATCCAGAACAGCTTTTTCAATTAAAAATGTCTGAACATCATCAACCAGTAAAGGTCCGGAGACATTTTTAATTATACTTTAGTACTTTAAACAGAATTTAACACTAAAATAAAAGGCAGATATTTATGCATCTATTTTATACAGTGACCTTTTAAATAAAAAGATTTTAACATCTAAATTGTTTTTGAAGTAGAGAACAACAATCATTCAGTCATCTCCCACAAATTAATGACAATTTCCGGACAAATTTTTTTTTTATAGTGGAGTGTGAATCGCGATGTGCAGCCAGACGGAGATGACGCGTTCTGCTCATGCGCTCTTGTTATCAGAGAACCGAGCCAGGGAAAAACCGAGCCGAGCCTCTGGAACTGCTCTGCAGTTAGCTCGGTCCGGTTGTGTCTAGCTCAGTTCAGTTTAATTTGCTTTCCATTTACACACCATAAGTTATCTCAGTTACTGAGCTTGGACCAGTCTCTACACGGTTTTTCAAAGGTAGTGTAAATGGCGTATAAGAAAGCTGAGCAACCGATAAAGAACACAAACATTCAAACCAACATATTCTCATTATCAGTTCGTATGAAATCGTACGAAAAGTTATGCACAGTATTTCGTGGGTTTTTGATGTTTTTCCTCGAAAAAACATATTAGTGCGCATGCGCAGCCAGCCAGACGAAAAAAGCAGATCAGCGGACGGACGTAAAACTGGGACGGACGAGCTTTCCACAGTGCAAAAATTACTCTATGATGTCTCTCACTAGGTTGCTTGCTGTCTTGTATGTTAGGGTTAGGATTAGGGTTAGGGTTAATTGTATTTTTTTTATTTTTATTTATTTGTTTATTTGACAGGGACAGTACAATTAAACATTGCAACCAAACAGGTGGCCGATGTCCAAGTACATAAGGCTTGTAGCCATGGGCTAATTTGCAGCCTTCGTCCCTGGTTAGGCTTTTAAAAGGTGTTAGCATTAAGGGGGAAGGAGGTTAGTTACGACACACAAATGCATAAAAACACCAAAAAAAACAAGAGAAGT